TCTTTAAAATTGGAATGTTTGGAGCTTGAATCAATAAGTCTCTATTTATAGGTGTAACCTCCTCATTTCTTAAAAGATAAGGATCAATCTTCAATCTCTTTGAATGATTTGATAGATGATTGATTGAGTCTGATTAAGTTCAAACAAATCATTAAAAAATGATTCTCAATCAGTTGAGATCAATAAAAAATTGTTTTTAAAATAATTCAAATACGTTTGAATATTAAAATATTTTTCAAGAATAGAAGATCATAAATTTCAAAAGATATTTTACCTCCAAAATCTATTTTTGGCTAAATCTCATGAATATTTTCGTTCAAATCTTAGGCCATCTGTTTTGAAATAATTTTAAAATAAATGAGATTTTTTTTTTTAAAATCAATTATTTTATAAAGAACTTATTTTTGAAAATAAAGAACAAATAAACTGAGCTTATTATTTGATTAAAAAAAGAAGTATTTGAACCAATACTAGAAAGTCAAGTAGTGTAGATGATCGTTCAGATCTCGTTCTCGAACTAGTTCAAGGACATTGGGCCTCCTAAGGGATATGTCACTCCCGATCTTTGATTAATTTTGTCTTGACTAATTTTATCTAATAACAACACAGATCAAAGCAATACTATTGGGAAAATTATAGTTTTCATTCCTCAAGTTTGCACCGATTTTACATTTGGTCCTTCATGTTCATAAAATAAAAAAATAAAAAAAAATTGGTCCCTCATGTTTCAGTAATTAACGTTTTTTGTCATTTCTGTTAATTTACCGTTACTCTATCAGTTAAGTCATTGATGGGCACACACTTGATTCCCTTAATTTTAACGGAAAATTGACGGAAAAGTCTAAAAAATTTGAATTTTTGAGACATGAGAAATCAAATGTGTTTTTAGTGAACATGAGGGACCAAATGTAAAATTGATAACAACGTGAGGAACGAAATATGTATTTGTCCCCAAAACTATTAGATGATTGGGGTCGGAGTCCCTGCCACGTAAAGAGGAACACCTGAATCTCAAACCTGTAAGACTAAACCACGTGAACTAAGCCGGTGGTTGGCAGAAACCCATCTGACGCTCAAGTCAGATAGATGCCTAGGCAAACAGGGGGTAAGTAAAACAATAGAGTTATGGGTATAGAACTAGAGAATAGAACGAACTTTGTAAAGCGAGGTAGATGGTTTATTTATAGTGTAATTAGTAGAATCCGTATTAAAGTCGAACTCTAAGTAGGATTAGTAAACCCTAATGGGCTTGTAAGATCTTATTAATAAAATTGAGCCATTAGTTAGTGACCTTCTAGATGGATCAGACCTTTTACAAGGACCAAATACTTATTGGCTTGCAGGTATATTAAGATTGTCCATCTGCAAAGAAAATAAGCACTAAAAGAAGTCATAAGATGGTTTGCTCTTGGGTTGTTAAGCCCAACAATAAAAAATTAAAAGCATCTGGCTATGATACCAATTGAAAGAGTAAATATGCCTAAGAGACGGGTGTATTAGACTTTTCAAAACTTTTAACATTTTTGCAGATTTACATATAAGGAAATTATTACTAAAAAATATAATTTATTTGAGCAAAATAATATTTCCAAGTAATAGGTTTTTTGCAAACTTCTAAATTAATTCTCGAATGAAGTTCTAGCAATAAATAATAAATGAATGGGGAAAATAAAATACAATAAAATAAAGTGTGTAAAGCAAATAACACCACATTTATATTGGTTCGCAGAAATTACCTATTCCACTGTTGCAGGCCCTCAAACTTTTTTTCCACATGTCTCCAAGATCCTTGGATCCTCCACATAGAAAAGAATGTACTTACAAGTAGACATGACCACTGGTTTGGTTAGAACTGGAACCGAACCGGGGTCAACGATTATAGAACCGAACCGGATCCGGAACCGAAAAAACCGCTTCGGTTCCGGTTCCTTACTTTCGGAACCGAGAACCGACGGTTAGAACCACGGTTCTAACTGTTTGAACCGTTTTTTTTTTAAATAGAAAATATTAATTTCCCCCTCTCCCCCTCTCTCTCTCTCTCTCTCTCTCTCTCTCTCTCTCTCTCTCTCTCTCTCTCTCTCTCTCTCTCTCTCTCTCTCTCTCTCTCTCTCTCTATATATATATATATATATATATATATATATATATATATATATATATATATATTATGAACCGGACGGTTCTACCGGTTCTAACCGGGAACCGAACCGGGACTGGTTAGGAACCGAGGAACCGGTTAGGAACCGAACCGCAAGGAACCAGATATTTTCGGTTCGGTTCCGCTTCCTCCAAAATCGGAACCGGAACCGGAACCGAACTGAACCGTGGCCAAGTCTACTTACAAGACTCTAACGACTTACGTACAAACATTGTGCTTACAAGAGAAACACTATTTCCTACTTATCAAGACGTGCTTATAAGAGTCTCACTCTTTCGCACTTCGCACTCAACAAAACCTAGCAACAAAGACAAATGTTCTCTAAAATCTTCACAAAATTCCTCTCAAGATATATAAGATATATAGTGAAACAAGTTGATGGGCAAGAGAATAATTTCAAAATTCCTAACAAATAAATGAAACTCTGTAAGCTCTCTTCAAAATTAGAATGTTTTGAACTTGAATCAATAGGTCTCTATTTATAGGTGTAGCTCCTCTTCTCTTAAAAGGTAAGAATCAATCTTCCATCTCTTTGAATGATTAGATGATTATTGATTAAGTGTGTGGTTAATCTCCAACTGATTAAGTTCAAACGAATCATTAAAAAGAAAAGATTATCAATCAGTTGAGCAATCAAAAAATGTTTTTAAAATAATTCAATTAAGTTTGAATATTAAAATATTTTTTAAAGATAGAAGATCATGAATTTCAAAAGTTATTTTACCTCCAAAATCTATGTCAAACTAAATCTCATAGATATTTTCGTTCAACTCTCAGCTGATCTCTTCATCCCCAAATCATAGCGGCGAAAATCACAGCTAAGCCCATTGAAGCTTGTTTTTGTGCCATTTTTTTTTTTTTTTAATATTAAATGTAGTTTTGTTGGTTTTTATTTTATTTTTTGCTTGTGGGATATAAAGGAAATGATTTGAGGTTTATATAGGAACTTTGGAGTCAAATGGGGGTGGGGGGGTGGGGGTGGTTAACCAACTTATTTTCTACTATTGTAAAAAGTTTTTGGTATTTTGTGTAGATATGTTTTAAGGGTTTTAATTAATTAAAAAGAAAAATTGATTGAGGAGAGATGGAGATGGTTAGTTATGTGGGTGAGCAACCTTGTTCTTGACTATAGATTTGAAGTTTGAATTGAAGTAACTTATTGTTTTGTCTAATACTAAAAGATGCTAGAAGAAAATTCAAGATTTTGTTATACTTTTTAAGGTGGAGTAGAACACTAATGTATTGCTGAATTCCGATACTCATTCGGTTTCACATTAACTGTCGTTTTAGAATTTCAAATAAAAGTGATTTATTTTCGAAAATCAATCATTTTTTTTTAGTAAGAAAATCAATCATTTTATAAAGACCTAATTTTTGAAAATAAAGAGCAAATAAACTCAGCTTATTATTTAATTAAAAAAAGGTATTTGAACCAATACTAGAAATTCATATATATACTCTCAAAAAAAAAAAAAAAAAATTCATATATATAGTGTAGATGTAAGATAATCGGGACAATTTTTTTTTTGGTGTTGTTTTAGATTGTAGTTTTTAAAATAGGGTTGTTTTGGGGGTTTAATCGAATTGGGGTTGAACGCCACCCACCACGGCGGCACCGGCACGAGGCGCCACCGCCGACGGCGGCACCGACAGGAGACGCCAGCTCCAACGGCGGCAAGGCAGGAGACGCCACAACCGGTGGCGTCTTGTCTCTATTTTTTAATATTAATATTGTAATATTTTAATATTTTAATATTTTAATATTATATATCTTAATAGTTTAATATTTTAAATATTTATATTTTAATATTTTAATATTTTTTAATTTTTAATTTTTTTTTACAAAATAAAACATTAATGTTAGTATTAAATTTATTACATTTTATATATTTTATCCATTAGTGTTTTATATCATGGTCCGATTCTCTAGCTACCCCATATCCTCATGCTATTGATACTCGGTTCTCTTCATGGGGTCCACATTTGGAGCTCAATTTGGGATACTCAAGTCTACGAGAGCGGATTCGACCACAGTATAATGTTTCCCCTGTTCCATATCCACCGGATGACACCCAGTTTGTTAATGATGTACCAGCAGATCCTGACATTCGTCGAGATGGTAGGCTGCGTAGGACTAGACGGGCACCTGCATGTGGCACTGGTTTACATAGGCACTGACTTCATAGTGCCAATTTTATTTTCTTGTACTCATTTTGTCTTTGTACTCATTTTGGACCTATTTATTTTATATAACTCTTTTATTGGACCTATTTATTTTATATAACTCTTTTATTTTCTAGAACTCCTTTTGTTTTGTCTACATGTTTTTAAGATTGTACACTATTTTATTGTGTTGATTAGATAAATATATGCAATGATTAATTTAACACTAATGAATAAAATATATAAAATGTTAATAAATTTAATACTAAGATTAATGTTTTATTTTGTAAAAAAAATTAAAAATCAGAAAATATTAGAATATTAAATATAAATATTTAAAATATTAAATTATTAAAATATTTAAAATACTATAATATTAAAATATTAAAATATTAAATTTATTAACATTTTATATATTTTATTCATTAGTGTTAAATTAATCATTGCCGCCGTTGAAGCTGGCGTCTCCTGTCGGTGCTGCTGTCGGCAGTGGCGCCTCCTGTCGGTGCCACCGTGTTGGGTGGTGCTCAACCCAATTCGATTACACACCCAAAACATCCCCATTTTAAAATCTAGAATTTAAAACAACACCAAAAACGACTATACCCTCCCTTATGGATTCTGCCACTCCGATGTTTGATTAATTTTATTTGGATTAATTTTGTATAGGCTCAAAGCAAAAACTATAATATCAAATCAATTGTTTCTCCATTAACAACAACAACTAGACGTTTCTAGATTCTTCCACACAAAGAACGTTCTTTCTCTTCCCCTCCAAAAAAAACCCCAAAACCTTTTTCAGTTTCATCCACCGCACCAGTAAACCCTAACCAAAAATCGAAGAACAGAAGAACAGAAAAAAATCAAATGTTCGGAGTTGTATTTCCGAACCGGAGTTTCCCGTTAGACATCTCCACCTTCACACAAATCGACGGCACCCACTGGCTGCTCGACATGAACCACTTCGTCGGAGAATCGTACGATTCCGTCACAGAAATCTGCATCTTCCTCCTCAACACCTACTCCCTCCCTCCCGACAAAGCCCTAGCTCTCTACATCCAATCCCCCGGCAGCTCCTTCCTCTTCTGCGGCGCCGTCACCCTCTCCCGCCCCTCCGCCGTCCTCTCCCTCCCCTGGCCGGAGCCCGGCGGCGGAACCGTCCCCCAGCTGACCGCCCCCGACGCCCCCCCTCTCTCCGCCAAAATCGGCGTCTCCGTCGAGGATCTGGCCGCGCTGCCGTCGCTCGATGTGGCGGCGGAGAGGCGGATCGAGCGGCTGGCGATGAAGGTTGGGGAGAATTTGTTCAATTTTATGCAGTCGTTCTGCGGCGTCGACGGATCGAAGCTGATTGTGCCCATGGATATTCTGGACCGGTGGTTTAAGAAGTTTCAGGAAAGGGCGAAACGCGACCCGGAGTATCTCAAGGGTTTCGCCTTGTAGACGAAGAAGCTTGAGGTACTCTTCGAATTTTATCGGCTTCGTTTATTTATTTATGTATGCTCGAAAATATGTTACTTGATTGTAGAGCGATTGAAAAGAAATCAATTTTGTTGTTATGATTAGTGATTTATGATGCTTTACTCCGTTTTGTTGTTTCGTTTTTTGCTCGATAATCAGTATCGATTGATCCAAGAAAGAATGCTCAATGCTCAGTGGTTTGTAGAAAATAGTATGCAGTCTTGTGTTTATATTGGAGCTTTGGTACTGAACAAATATTGGTTTTTTTTGAGCTTAAATGAAAGAGCTAAACATAATTCCGTTCCCGTAATTTAAAGCTTGTCTCTGTTGCGAGTTTTATTCCCGTAGTTTAAAGCAGCGAATTTTGTTCCTCTGACATTGTTGTTTGTGTGCGACACGAAATAAAAAAAAATTAATTGCTAACAACATTACAATCTATAGACTGTTGTTTGTAAGCATATTTGCAATCGGATAAACATCGACTATGGCAATGCAATTTTTTTTCTCTCTCTCTCTGCTATGCATGAAATGATTCGTCGTATTAACAATCTGGATTTTATCTAATTTGTTTTATTAAATCTTGAAACATTGTATGCAAGATTTATGTAGTATTGTACTATTGTTTTGTACGTTATCGTGTCGTAATTCCAGTTATATTAACTAATCAAAGGAAGTTATCCCTGGTCATTTCCTCCACCACTAGGAAATAAATACAATCCGAGCGAACCCTAGAAAAAAGATTTACGTAAAAAAAAGGAAAAATCAAAACTTCAAGCATTTAATTAAAAGTTATCCATTCTACAGGGGAATTGCGAATTTGTGACGACATTGCAATGGAACCATGTTCATAGGGTTTTCGGGTTTCAGGGTTTCGTTCGGTTTTGTATGGATAAACGACTGTAAATGGACCGCGATAAAATGTAGACCGGTTGGATGGGTCGAGCTTTTCTTCATTTCTTTTAGACTATATCTTCTTTTTTCCATATTGTAAGTAATTTATTCAATTTCCATATGAGTTGCCGATAGATATAAATATGCATGCTCTAATCTGTACCCACAACATGAAAAATCAGTAGGAGATCGAATTTCTGCAAATCATGTTTATCAACAAGAAATGTCGAGTTACGCATAACCAGTTAGGTCATGTTCGATTTTGATGATTAAATAATTCATCAATCAATTCGTTGAATATTCATTTTGGGAGATCATGTCTTTTTTTGTGTGTGAATTTGGCTTCTTTTGCTGCAGGTTGTCAATTATGAAAGATTGCATTTTTATAGTATTAGCTTACCGCATCGCATCGGTTAACGATTCGGCTGTTGTATTCTAATTTCTAATTAGAATCTGTTGTATTCTAATTTCTAATTAAAAGAAAAGAAAAGTCTCCTGAATTAATTTTGTTTTGAGAAGTTTCGATTTCTAAACAAGTTCTCTAACTCTAATTTCCGCTTTTCGGGTTTTCTGGGTTTTCTTTTTTTATTTGGAACGGAACTGAAATTAGTTTTTCACTTTGGAAAAGAAAAATTGCAACTTTCTTTTCCGCCCTGATTTATTGAATGCTAATTGGTTTCTTAAGCATGTTCTAATCGCCATCTTTTAGTAATTGTGAATAATTTTCTTTTATTATACTCCCTCCGTTCCAAATTAGCCGTCGCTTTGGGAATTTTTCTTGTTTCAAATATAATTATCTGTCACTTTAGAATTTCAATAATGCATTAATTAATATCTTCTCAATTTGTCCTTATTACTATTCATTAATAGAGAGAGAATTAATAAAAATAACATTAATACCAGAGATATTTTGGTCATTCTATATTTTCTTCTGTAATCCATGCACATTTATTAGTTTTTTTAATACATGCGTAACAATCCAAATTAGCGTTCTTTTAGCCTAGTTATGACTTGTGGATTATTTGGCTTATTCAAATTAATTGGCATCAGTATATCACTCAAATTCGTATCATATTTAATGATTGCCAATGTAAATGCAATATTATCACAGGTGTTGATTAAGTTTGGTTATAAGAAACGTCTGAATTACTGTGACTGATTATTCTGCTGCGTCTGATTCTTCTGTTCTGATTAAATTATATATATATATATATATATATATATATATATATATATATATATATATATATATATATATATATATATATATATATATATATATGTGTGTGTGAAAAAACCATTTTGGTTATTTTATAGAGTGAATCCCACTGGGACATTGCATGGCCATTTGAGAAATTTGAGAACTGTGTACAGTACGACCTCGATAGATTAATAATTTCGTTTACATAATATTGTTTTTTTCGATCCTGATTCGGGAACAAGGTGCTAAATTGATAATTTGCAAAATTTATAAGATAATTTATATTTAAAAATTCTAAAAATGCTCATTTAATA